GCGCAGTAAATTTTCAACAGCAAATGATTCTAAAATTTAATGTCCAAATCCCTGATATTCATTTCCGTATTCAGGAGAGTTAAAATAATACCTTCCATTTCTGCTACAGCTAACTTTAGCTGCTTACTTTCTTTGCAATAATTGTTACAGCTTAAAGCAAGAATAAACAGTTACATTTTCTCCTTTATTCAGTCTTCTTATTCAGAAAAGTGTTCCTGATTATAATCAAGTAACAATATTCAGCTTTAGTTCAAGTTGAATACTTCACATATATCTAGGTATCTAGATTTAGATGAAAGTGTGTATGGCTGTATTACTTGTAAGTTGGGGAAGCAAGTAAATGCTGCCATTTTTTTATAGTTTTATAAATATTGAGTGATATTATTTCAAGAAGCTATTGCTTAATTGCACAGTGTTATCACAAATATAAATATTCAAACAAAATTAGTTATTTTCTTTTAAGTAAGTAAATATAGTATTAAAATTGAATTTCTATAAAAAGATTTTAAAAATGAATCACCACAAAAAGTGTTCGATTTTCTATTACACGATCTTTTAGGTTTTCGTTAATTTCAAACTACGATGGTTTTAAGGGTAAAATTAGAAACTCTTTTTTAATAAAACAAATTTTCAGTTAATTGTACGCCCGGAAAAAGGTTCAGAATTTGGAATTTACGAAAGTAAAGAGGGATTATTTATTTTTTATCTAACTTCTGAATTTGCTTATGAATAAGCTTTGGTTGATTTCAACAAGCATACCGCAATTATTTTTGTTTTCGAAAGTCTGGTTATTTAAATTTAACTATAGTTGCACAGAAATTTAGAAATATTTGGCAGGATATAAAACATTTGGTAGTGGGTTTTCTGACTGCAAAATATTTCCTGCGCAAATCTTTTAGACTAATCTTACAATGAAGTATACTAATGCTCAGTGAAAATATACGGCCGATGGCTATTGTGTGAAATATATGGAACAGGCAGCAGCAATATGAAGCATCACAATCATCAGAAAATAATAAATACCCTAAAAGGGCGTTAGAGGAAGCAAGAGTCACATCGCTTAATGGAAAAGAAAATATCAAACGCTCGCTCAGTCCAGGCACATAATTCTCAGGCATTTCCAATTTTCGGGAGTTGAGAAATGATTCATCAAAGGAGGAGCGTACAAGAACGGTTAAAGAGAGGTGAATTGCGCCGTGTGAAAGAGTAGAAAGTAGTGAAATACACTAAAGAACGACAAAGGTGTTTCCGTTGCTTGAAAGTAAGGTCCACTAAGCCTTCACTGACGTATTCGATTTCGGGTTTTGAACACTATAATGTTAATGGGCAACGTTTTAGTTGCCATTAACATTATAGCGTTCAAAAACGTGGAGAGTAGGAGTACTTGGACAATCTTTCTTTTCGATTAAGTAATGTGACGCATGTTTCTTCTAATGCTGGATGCTTATAATTTTCCTAAGCTGGGATTGCTTCTATGGTAATAGACGAGTTGATATCCAAAGGTTTCCTACAACAGCATATGACTCATTTTTGCTGCTGACTAAACTGTATGCATTCTTAGATACAGAGCAAAACGGATATCACCAAAAAAAATTAGAAAATATCACCAAAAATAGTCAAATGATACTTAGCGTGTTAGAATAGATTTTTATCTTGCTTTTAATTGACAAATTTTTCACATTTTTAACACCATATGTTTGTATTAATATGAGGGAAATGCAGTAAATGAAAGAGTTGCAAATCTGTATGGGATGAGAAGGAAATGTGCAGTCAATTCCCAATTATTCGGGGTGAGTTAATGGCATAGCGCATTAACAGGGCTTTCTCTACAGAGAATTAAATTTATTTGATGCCGGAAGATGGTAAAGTTACCATTACAAACCATTCAGTCCTTGAATGAAGCTTGGTTAATCAGGAATCTTCCCTTGCTTGGTTAATCAGAAAGGTCCTTAGGAGCTACTAGTTTCAAAAAGTGTTACAATTATATTTTCTTCCGAGCAATGTTACAATAAGGGGTTGTCAGGGCAGTGATAAAATGGCTTCTGTGCTAGAGGAATATACGTTACAGAAGAAAAGGGCTGCGATTCATTTATTATGCTGTTAGTCCGTTTTCACAAGCGAGACACAAATCAAATTACAACAACTTTTACAGCGCAACCCGCAGAAACATCTCTTCTTCACATAGATCAAGGCACATGCAAAAAATGAAGGAAATCAAGCAGCTGATAGCTTGGCCAAGCAAGCAGCCATTGATGAAGAAGCTAAAAAAATCACAATCATTCACAATCACAAATGAAGGAAATCACAATCACAAATGAAGGAAATCAAGCAGCTGATAGCTTGGCCAAGCAAGCAGCCATTGATGAAGAAGCTAAAAAAATCACAATCAAAGCTCCTCCTTCTTATCTCAAAGGGCTTTTACGGAGTCAAGGCCTAAACCTTTGGCAGGAAAGACTGGACGCACTGAACAACTAGAAGACGTACATACAGCTACCTCCCGAAAGTTAGCCCCAAAAATAACATTGCAATAGCTCCTATTACGGTTTATATTACGGGACACAGCCCATTCCCGACCTACTTCAATAGACATGGCATAATAACTACGGACATGTGCGTCTGCGGAGCGGAAGGCTCCACAGCCCACTATGTTTTTGAATGAAATTAGACAGCAGGAAATCACCTCTCTCTTCCCATCCATCTGCTTCCCTTATAAAGCAGAAACCGGCAGTAAATACAATCTGCAAATTTGTCAACAAGCTCAAGGGAATGGGCCAAGATTTGTGCTCTCCTCATTAACCAAAATTCGGAAGGCATGATAAACTAAGTAAGTCAGCATGTAGTTCCACATCCGCAGACACATAGGTCTGCTCCTAAGATTTATATAAGTCTCTGTTACATACACTTATCAAATAATGTGCAGTCAAATGTTTCCAGCATGTATTTAACGTTTCCTCTTCTGTATATGCATAATACTTCACGTGTTTTGTCTATGAGCCTGTATTTTAATCCTATTATTTTTTAACTGTATTTTTGTATCTGCATTTTTAGTTTGTATTTTTTAAAAATTTTATTATGAATATGCAAAATTACCATAGCAAATTGCAATAAAAAATGTCAAAACAGTAAAACAAATGCAATCTGTTCTTGTATGGCCATATAAATGCTCTGTTAACATCCTAAAAAGCTCTTGAGGCCTCAGGGAGTTACTCCTGGTTAGTGGAGGATGCGGGACACATGCCTGTTTACCTCTGTTAGACATCAGGCGTCCCCGACATCCGTTACCAACCAACCAACCAACCACAAGTGAGAGAAGGATGTGATTATTATAACATTGCTAAGATGCTGCAGCTTTTGGCTGTAGTTTCCGGCCTTCAGAATATGTAGGTCTATAGTGTGACAGCATCTTACTTCAGCATGACATTGTTAAGATTATATGAAATAGGCAACCAAAAATGTTTTGTGCAGTTCTGACGGGAATCTCTTCGACTACTCCGACTTATCTACTATGCGATTTCACGTTTGATACCCTCAAAGGTTCCTTTAGCTTTGTAAGTTTTGAGGATGATATAGATATTGAGCAAGAGGTTTGTAGTGACTGCCGTAGCAACATAAAGGCTGGATGCAACATCTAGCAGGATTCTCATACATCGAAGGAATATAATTTCCACTGTAGCTGGAGGTTATATGGGGAAAAAAATGGGTTACCATGTAAGTATTTTGGGCGTTTTATTTCTGTGACTGTTTGTAACTCATTTAATGAAAACTCTTTGTAACATTAACGTTTTACTATTTTTATCAGTGTAAACAATTCATATCCCTTCTGAATTTTGCTTTACGAAAAATTTTTAGGATTATTATTATTATTATTATTATTATTATTTTTCTGATTCTAATTACATTTAATGAAAAAACTATGGTTTAACTATTTGTACTTAATAATTTTTCAAACAAAATTTTCTTTTATTGTAACGTCATTTTTGCAAATATAATCTAACAAACCACTATAAAGATGGTATTTAATAAATGACGGTTTCTTATTAATTACTCAAATTATACAATGTAATTAAAAGATTTTTAAATTCAAGACAGTATCGTTTACGATGAGTAAAGAATCAGAATATTTTAAAAGGAATTGAATTTATCATTAGATGCATTTAAAAATAACGTAATACATCAAGCAGCCGTTAATTTATTTTAATAGACGGCAATCAAATTATTCAGGAAACTGTAAAACATTTTTAGTCCAAAGGGATTTCAGTCCCGAAGGACTATTGCTTTCGTTTTGGCATTTTGCGTCGGACTCATAAACGTCGGTTCACTTTTCAAACTGTTGCCACAAAATGTTAGAGTCCTGCATTATATTTGAAGAAATTAAATAATGAAAAATCTGCATAAATGATTGTCTATTTCTCGCATTGTGATAAAACAACGGTACATAGAGCCATCGAATTTTGAATGACGAAATCCTACTGCGAATATGGTCATCTGAAATCCCAAATTTGGAATTTGTTTTATTATAGATTTTATATTTTGTAAAACTTTAACGAATTTTTGATTTACAAACTCAATGCTTTAAAAGCGAGAAATGGCAACGTTATATAGAAAAAAAAATACTTTTATCTCAAGCTCGCGAGACTGTGTATATCGGAAATTCTAAAGATATGCTTAATTTAACGTTATTTTGCGATATTGCTCTTGAACTGAATTTTATGGTTTAAGTGCAAAGAACATGATATTTAATAAATAAAGGTAACACTCAAAACGTTAAAAAAAACGCCCCTTTGGACGTAATTTAAAATCTGAAAAATTTCAGATTTTTTTTTAAATTTTTTTATGTATGCATATATATTTATAAGTGAACTTTACGATCTTTTGTGCAGAACAGCTTGAGAAGTGAAGCAGGATAAATAAATTCGGATTTCCAAATGTACATAATACGTGATGTAAGAAAAATATGCAAGATATCTGTATATAGAAGATACTTAAAAAATACAAAGCAATATTAAAAAAGATAACAGTTTATTGAGTATCAGTTTCTACATAACAAGTACTGAAGTGACGCATTCTGTACTTAATATATATTACTTGAAACTCTGCTCTAAAACTAAACAGATGTTCGGTCCTCTCGAAAGCATGCTTTTAGTAATAAATAATGATGGTAGTTTCGGAGGACCCAATATCTTCTTTAATAGTCCTGAAGTAAAGGATAGGCTCATTTTTTCATCTTTTAAGGATTCTGCAGAGTTGACCTAAATTTGAAATAATTCTTTAATATAGGTTATCTGAAACAGAAAAAAAGTACAATATTAAAGTAATCGCAATATATTGCTTTTCAGATTTGCATTTAAACTTAGAAGACATAATTATCTTCCATTAACACATTATTTATTGCATACATTCATGTACTTGCATGCATTTTCTTGATGCTACGTTATTTCGTTTTGCTCTAAAAACAAGTGCTTTAAATTATTCCCTTTCTCTTTTATATATCATGAATATTAGGCTAAAACATGCTACAATTGTGCATCGATTGTTAATTTTCATATTTGCTGAAAGGGAACTTTTAACGTGATATAAGGGCAGAATTGCTTTTGTTCTCTTAATCTTATTAAACTTGATGCATAAAAAAGGCTTCAAACGTTTAGAATTCCACGTTCAACGTTTAGAATTTTAGCAATATTGGAAGTTTGAAGAAATTGCTTAAGATAATAGATAAATAAAACTAAGAAAATTGTTTAATCCTATAATTTTCTTTTCTTTCCAGTTCGAAACTTCAATGTAATATATTTAATAACTAAGATTACTTAATATTACACTTATACTTCGAAATTATGAAAATAGTTTTAAAATCAGTTTCGATTTTTCTTTTTTTATATCATTGGAAAGGAATAGAAGAAAATTTAAGTATGTAAACACTAAAATAAAATGAAGATTTGTTTGATATTAAAAAAAATCTTAGAAATTTGTGAAACTCATTTGTTTTTCAACTCTGATGTACCTTAAAATTCATATGTTGCGATACCTAATAAATAATGTTAAAAAATCTACATATTTAAATAACTGAATTAGGTAAATAGAGAAAGAAAATATGAAATTTGTTAACTATCAGACCGCTTACATTTTACTGGATAGATTTTCTGTTCGAAAAGCAAATTGCCACTTATTTCAGATGCAGATATCCCCAACTGGTGTAAGAATCTTCAAATTCATACCTGAAGTTCTCCGTATAAGATTAGAAATCAAATTCTATTAATTTTCAAGAAGATATCTTCTCTTTAAAATTAATAGAATTTGAGAAGAGAGAAGATATCTTCTCTGTAATGAAACATCATCAATAAAATTCCTTACATAAAGAATAAATAAAAGTCAGAATGAATGTCAGCAATTTTTGTGTGGAAATAACTTTGTTTGCTGTATAAATATTCTATCTGTTACCGAGGATGATTTCTGAAACGTCAAATTATATTTGTGCATGGGATGAAACATTAAATAGTGAAAGCAGGTCTAACTTAACTACAAGAGTAAGAAGGACAGCTCTGAAATACTGTAGGCATAGGTACTCCTCCTCCTTCCAAAAACAATCTGAATGGAAAGAATATCAGAAGCTAAGAAAGTCACGGCTTAATTTATAAAACTAGAAGTGGTGGAGTTCTATAGAAAACCGCAAGGAAATGGGGGGGGGGAGGAAACTGACTGCTTAACTAAGAAATTAATATATTAATTTTAATTCCAGTTTAATTTAAGTTATTAATTTAAGAAATAAATACCAGAATTCTATCTTATTTGGGTTACATTATTTCATTGCGAAGCTGATAAGTACCTCAGACGAGCTTCAATATGCTCCAATCAAATTTAAGACCTATAGTAAGTAACAGATTACAGTAGTAGTGTAGTTTATAGCAGAACCTTGTTTTTGTACTTCCTCATTTTACAACCTTAGTATTAAATATGTTAATAAAAATAAATTTATTTCCAGATAATATTGATGTACGAAAGCGTTTTAGTGTTTGTATTTTAGTTTGATAAGCACTAAAAAGTTTACATGTAACTATAGAGAAAGGTAAAAGAGTCTAAAGGAACATGCGACAGAGGGAGTCATGCGTACCTAATAATATCCGTAACCTGCATGTTGAGGAGCAGAGTAAGCGGGTTGGTGGACCTGGACGGGTTGGGCATGGAGTTCAACATCAGCAGGGCTTTGGCTTTCAGTTCCGGGCTCATTAGTCTTGACTTGGGCACGGAAACCATGATGATCAGCTACATAGTCAACCTGTCTGTAGATTCCGTGAGCATCAGTGTAACCATAGCTGCCTTGAACATTGCCGTGTCCATCTCCGTGCTCAGCGCGGTTCTGTTTGAATTCACCGTGGTCACCTTGGATTTCGTATCCGTATTGGTAGGGGATGGGTTGAGCCTGGAACAAAGCATTAATGTAATGATCTCACAATGTAGAACAGAATGCCGATACGTATCTTTTCAAATTTCTCAACGATACTGTCAATAGTATCACTTTGCTTCTATGGAAAAGTTCAAACTAAAAGACAGCAATTTTTATTTTACATCATATTTCATCACATATGATTATATAACCAAATGTTTTTCCTAAACAAAGGAATACATCTAGAACACAAGGATTAAATTTAGTAGAATAAATAAAAGAAGGACATATCGTTGTCTATAACGCTTTTTATCGCTAATACTAACTAGTTTTAAATTTAGCTATCAAGCATTTTAAGATTTTCAGCCTTTCTCATATTTCTTGAAATATTTGAACTGTATCCATGAAAATGTTAGCTAGTTTATTGGGCTTGAGTGCATGATTTCCAGTTTTAAATCAGTATCTATAATGATTTTTAGACCTAAAACTAGTAGACAAGAATAAATATGAATATTATTTGTATTTTCTGTTTCCTATAAAGTTTTATAGCTCACCACAAAATCTTAAATTTTTTATAAAGGCAAAATCCTTAAAATAAAGCGGGATTGTCTTTGTCATTCATTGCTCATTTAGTGATAAAATGTAGACAAATCTCCAAAACTCTTCTTTGGCACATTTTCGGCTTTCTAAATTTCTTTAAAAGGCTATAAATGCTTATTTTTTCCATAAGTATACATATCTTTTGAAACATGCTTGTGGCTAACACTAACTTTGCAAGTACCTTTATATTAAAAATTTTTATTTGCCTTTCCTTCACATGAGTAAGAAATTTGTGGATAAGAAGCGGAAAAAAGATTAATATTTCGAACGTGCTATTGTGATGTTTATTACCAGGTGTTTTAATTTTTCACTTAATTAACGGATGAGATGTATCGATTTCTCTTTTACTTGCTGAGTTTTAATCCAGTAAAAATAAATTTTAAAATTTCTGATCTCCAGTACTTTAGCAATGACACCGTAATATCATCCTCTACAAAGACTGGAAATTTAGCATGCTTTTCGAAATGTTAAAAATATCCTTAAATATTTAATTAATTCAAAATTTAATTTCTTAAAAATATTGAGCAGTTTTATTTGATGACTTTATCTGCTGGGGAAAGAAAGATTCTTCTCTTATAAGGTATTTGCATCTGCTTATGATGATGTTCATGATCATTAAATATCTCAATTTTCGGTTAATTTATTAATAGTTCAGTAAACTTTTACAATATAATAAAAATTAGCATGGTAATGTACTCATTTAAAAGATTTTTTCTTGCAATGTACAAAAATTTAAATTAGCCTTAAGAAGAACAATATTTTTGCCTAAAAAATAGGAAAAAAAAAAAGAAAACTAATACTGAAGAAGGAAAACAGTATTTGTGCATTTGCCTGTGATAATAAGATTCTTTTAAGTAGTTCTAGGAAAAATGAAAGAGAATTCGCTGATTAAATAAGTTTCTGTGGAAGATTATTTGGCATGAGTAAGTGGTATTATTATTTTGAAGAATGCAGAATTTAAGGAAGAATTCTCGGTACTTACATAATCTTGATGGCCATATCCTGCACCACCATATCCTCCTTCATGACCGTATCCGTACTGAGCCATGGCAGCAGCAGCCAAGGAAACAAGGAGAAGAGCCTAAAAGTTTTATACATGTTCATAATTCTTCTATTGTTGCGAATGTCATAATTCATGTGATAACTTTAATTCAAAATATTGAAACATAATATAATCGAATTTTTTTTGCTATGCAACACTTTTTCAAATTTTATAATCTTTGTATCCTCTGAAACCATGTTAACTTTAAAATTTCTATTCCATTATAGGAATCTCAATTTGTGTTTATTTCCGCCAAATTTTGCTGGAAATTTAGATAACGATGGTACTTTGGTTCCAAAATTGCTTTGTAATACAGTTTAAAACAAGCTTTTTTATACAGAGAGTTTTTCTGTCTTTTTTTAAGCTTTTCTGCCTTTAGCTTTTCTGATAATAATGATAAAAATTTAATGATGATAAAAGTGATATATTTTTCTGAATTGAGTGTCTTAATTCAAACTTACTGGGATCACTTTGATTAACGTATAGTTATGGATTTAATTTTGTGAGTTGCAATGAAGGATTTTTAGCGCATTATAATTTTAAAAAAATATGTTTATATTAACAAAAAATTTCTCTTTAAAACCATGTAAAGCATACTGCCGACACTAAACACCCTAGCAAACTTTTTGCGTTTTTTCAAAATTAGTTTTAAATTTACAATGCAATAAACAAAGAAAGTCAAGTATTTTTTTTTTTTTTTTTTTTTTTTTTTTTTTGTTGATTTGTATATGAGTTGTACAAAATTAAAGCTGAAAAGTTAAGAAATTTTTTTAAATATATAATTTTATATTGGATTAATATTTAATAGTAATTTTTTATCAGAAATAGGAGATTCTTTTCCAAAGAACTTAAAAAAATAATTTTTTACAGTTATAATTCTGCATCAGAATCCAAAGAATAACGCTGACTAAGTGATCTTTTTTCTCAAAGAAAATAAACAGTCTATTCTAAAGATCCTTAAACATGTGAACATAAAAATCCTAAAATTATCTCCCAAAGCAGAATAAATATGTTTAAAAATAGCTAAAAATCTGAAGTTACCGAAGATATGTACCGATTTTCACTATTACCAAATTATGCTATACATTTATTCTAATATTAATTTTCTATTGAAAAAATTAATGTCTGTTTTAGATAACGTTCATTTATACTTTGAATACGGAATGTTACTTATCAAGTCGTGCATATATAGCGTATGAAAAATAATGCCAAACCAAAGAAGTAATGATATAAATTATAAAAATTAATAAATGTCTCAAAAGTCTTAAATTAATAAATATTATATTAGTTTTTAACAATAAAAATTTTGTACTGAGGATTTCGCTTTAGCATTCTAATCTTCATTTATACTATTTTACGTTTTTTTTAATTATATTTAGAGATTAGAATTCGTAAACCTTTCCTTTGTATATAAAAATAACATAGCATTCAGTTAATACATGTTATCTCCTAACAAACAGGTTATCTTACCTTAAACATCATGGTGAAAGTACGTTTGAAGCTGGAGAACTTCTGAAAGAAGTGAAAGCTCTGAGGAAAAGGAATCGAATGATTTCGAACGAATCGATTGCGTTCTTATATACTGATATTTAGGTAAAACAACCATATTAATTTTTTTTGTTGTTGTTGCTCTTGATCTTGCTGGCCAACACAGAAAACAGTAGTCACACCCTGTCTTTGACAGGTCTGCAAGGCTGTAAAGCGACCTTTCCTACCCTGGATTAGACGAGAAGACATTTAGGGAATCGGGAGCAATTTCAGGGAGGGGTGGAAATACAATTAGGCCTTCGGCACAATAATATTATGCCACTTTCTATTATGACCTCAGGGAAAGAAATAAGTAAGCTATTTCTTACTGAACTGCCTAATAGAGATCTAATCCAGAGCTGTATAACTTCGAAAGCTTTATTGAATCTTGCATTTGATGTATAATTTTCCTTAGTCAAATAGTTTAAATAAAGCGTAATAATAGTTTGATTGCTGTTTCACATAAGCTTTTAATATCTAATTTTTCATATAAATTGTAATGCTATTTAAGTGAATAGCATACAATTTTGTAATGCTAAATTGTATGCTATTCTGTTAATGTAAAATGCCATCGAACTATTTTTAATAAAAGAGCTTGTTGGGTTACTACAAGAGTCCAGAAATAGTTATCTTGCTTTTTGAATGTCATAAATTATTGAGACATACCACCTGCACTTACTTATTAATGTAACAATACTGCAGAGATAGAAATTTTGACTATCATGTTGTCCATAGATGTTCTTTACTTATAGATACTAAAGAATTAACACGGTGAATCCGGTAAGCCTATCAAAATAGCAAGCGGAAGACCAGTGGTTCAAATCTCAACAAAGGCTCAGTTGATTTTTCTCATTTCAAACTCCGAAAACCATATTGGTCACTACAGTGGCACACGAACTTACACAGTGAGGGGATCCCAGGAGTATTGGATGGCTCTTTATATTAACTAGTTCGCAAATGCATGAGGCGAAATCTATAAACGTACCCACTTGAAAACATTACTCAGGTCTCTTAGTTCACAATAAATTATCGAAAAATTTAAATAATAAACTTATAAGAAAGGAAGCCAGCCAATACCAGTGTCTTATAGTTATTACTTATAGCAATAGCAAGAAAGACTAGTGGTGTGCATACTATACTTTAAACTTTATAAAGCCTAGTTTATCATAGCAACTACAGAAGAAAAATATAAGGCAAAATTACTAAAATTGGCTGTTCTCTTGAATCAAATTTATGCGCAATTATTATCTAAGACTATAGAAGCTAATACCAGCAATAATTCCCAGAAGAAATCTTCAGATTATTAAGAATTGGAGTCTTCGAATTTTGGTTTCTGCTTTAAAATTCTTCAAGAATATACCAATAGCTAGATGCTTAGAAACCAGATCTATTCATTCAGCGATAAGCAAATGCATTATTGTTAAAGCAACTTTTTTCGTTAAGATTCAGAAAGGTATACAACAAGAGGAATATAAACTAGAATATTAGAACAAATTAATAACCTTATATTGGAGTAGATGTTTTGAAAACATTATCAGTTTCGAGAGCGATTATCATAAGTTACATTAGTTCAAGCAGAATAATGTAATTTATTTGTTCATCAAAAATAATTTATATTAAATCAATAGAATATTATATAAAATTTATTCAAATATAAAGTGGATTATTGTTCTTTTGCCTGAGTACCTACAAATAAATAACGTCTCTGAAAATATGCTATTACCTTAACAAAATTTTAATCTTCCATATAAAGTTTTCCACAAATTTAGTTACTTGTTCGGATTTCATACATATTTGCTTTTCAGCATGTCAAAAACGTCTAATTTTATGCTTTCACGGGCTCTGATTGAAAAATAAGATTTTTAGCAATGGCCTCTTATCAGTAAATGATACTTCTAACTTGAGGTCCTCAACTACAAATCATTCAGTGCGTGAATATATCAACTTTTGTGCAATTAGAACCTATAATATAATTTGTGAAAACTTGTTTACGTTTATAACCTTTAAAACATTAAGAATAATATAAAAAACAATAAAGCATTAATTTAATAAACATTTTTTAGTCCAATTTGCCATGAAGGACTATTAATTTCGTTTTGGGATTTTGCGTTGAAAACTGTAAACGGCGAATCACTTTTCAAACTGTTGCCACCAAATATTATCACCCTATATTATATATATTTAAAGAAATTAAATAATGAAGAATCTGCACGAATGTATGTATGTTTTTTGCATTGTGATAAAAGGGTACCTAGAGCCATCAAAATTTGAATAACGTAATCTTTCATAGAATATGGGCAAGCGGAAGCCCTAATTTGAATTTTAAATTTGTTTTATTATCGATTTCACATTGTAAAACTTAAACGAATTTTTGATTAACAAACTCAAAGATTTCGAAGCGAGCAATGGCAACGTTGTACAGAAAAAACATTTTAATCTTTATTAAATTAGCGCGAAACAGTGTATCGGAAATTCTAAAGATATGCTCAACTTAAAATTATTTCGTGATATTGTTGTTGAACTGAATTTTATGGTTTGAGTACCTTGAACATGATATTTAATAAGTAAATGTAACACACAAAATGTAAAAAAAAGTCCCTTTGGACGTAATTTAAAATCTGAAAGCTTTCAGATATTTATTTATTTATTACCATTTATTCTATAATACAATCTCTAGAATAGTGCTCTAAATATTGTGATACTAGTGTGAACTTTCCTGGTAATTCTTATAAAAGTTATTAATTGTGAGAAGCGTTTTCTAAGTAAAGGAAGTATTCAAGAACTACAACGGTACATTTAGCACTTTAGAAATCTCTGCTGTCTACGTAAATCAAGCAAACGAATAGATCTCTCAGTAATGTGATTGGTGGTTTTCTGAACAAGGAAACAAGCAGAATAGAAATGTGAAGTAAAGTTTTTCTTCAAAAATAAATGTGGAGTTTAAATTTATTTCGCTACGTGTCATTTTGATAATTTTAAAATTTTGTTCCTGTCCTTACTTTAATTGATATGATTAATTCATTTATGTGCAGTTTTTGTTATGATTATGTTTATGTTGTATACTGTAGAGAAAACTGTAAAAGAACCGATGCAAAAACCATTCTTTAACAGGAAGCCTACGTAAGAAAAAACTGGGAATCCCTGGTCTACACATATAACGTTATTTACATTCCATTTTCATTTGAATCAAAAGAATGCTTTGTTTTTAATTATAGCTTATCATTGTTTTTAGTTATAGATTTTTAAAGCTAAAAGTAAGTTCATTAAATTTAATGCCAATGTAGAAAAGTTATAAAAACATATATTGATTAACAATTGTTGTATACTATGATATTGTTACGTATCTATAGTATCTATAGTCATATTGCAAGGAACTCCATCGATATTCCCATTGATGGACAGTCCGTTATTGTTGCCACTCACTGTATAAATTTTAAGAGCTTTAAAACAAGGTTTTTCACTATCTGGCAACCTCCGTTCCTCGATATGGTCACTAATTTGTTTGCTGCGTTGTTGCTGGGAAATGATGAAGAAGTTAAATCTGTCCATAAAATCATAGCACAAGACTATATTACAATACCGGCAAGAACAGAAATTTTACTTCCTGGATCCATAGCCGAAAAATAGAGATTTTCGCTACGGCATCATAGAATATCCCAATAACTCTAATACCCCGAAAGGAGTACTAGTAGCCTCAACACTCGTCGACTTATCGAGAAATGGTTATTCCTGTGAGAGTTGCCAATGTAACTGAGAAGCGAGAGTTATTAAGAAAGGCGACGTGGTTGCAGCATGTACTCCAGTAACCAGCGTTGAAAAAAAGAGCAACATCCCAGAACCCGTGTCCTCAGAGAGCATTACATCGGAGTTATTGCAGAATGCGCAATTAAACGATGAAGAGAAAAATGCTGCCGATCGCGTCATTAAAGATCTTCAAGTTGTTTTCTCCCGCTCGTCTTCTGACGTGGGTCGAACTAGTTTGACGCAACATAGAATCGATACAGGCGATCATCCCCCGATCAAGCAACATCCAAGACGCCTACCGTTTGCTAAACAGGAAGAGGTACGAACACTTTAAAAGGATATGGAAGAAAGCGATGTTATCGAGCCTTCAGCAAGTCCATGGGCATCTCCCATCGTTCTTGTCAGAAAGAAAGACGGCTCAACAAGATTTTGCGTTGACTATCGCCGGTTGAATGAGGTTACGAAGAAAGACAGTTACCCTCTTCCTAGAATTGACGACATTTTGGACACTCTTTCTGGAAGCAAGTGGTTCTCAACACTTGATTTAAAGAGTGGGTATTGGCAGGTAGAAATACACCCTGATGACCGAGAAAAGAAAAAACGAAAAGACGGCATTTACTACGGGACAAGGGCTTTGGCAATTCAAGGCGATGCCGTTTGGACTGTGTAATGCGCCGGCAACATTCGAACGTCTTATGGAGACTGTTTTGAAAGGCCTTTCCTACGAAGCCTGCCTGATATACCTGGACGACATCATCATCGTCGGAAAGAGTTTTGAAGAACATTTAGAAAATCTTAGGAAAGGTGCTTCAGAAACTGAAAAGAAGCCAATCTGAAGCTGAGCCCCGCTAAATGCAAATTGTTTTCGAAAGGAAGTGACTTATCTGGGACATGTCATCTCTGCAGAAGGTGTGCGCACGGATCCTGAAAAGGTATATCAGCGGTTAAATCCTGGAAACGTCCCGAAAATGTCCATCAGCTGAGAAGCTTCCTAGGGCTTTGCACCTACTATAGGAGATTCGTGAAGGACTTTTCTTCCATCGCAAGACCCCTTCACAAGCTGACAGACAGAGAGCAAGCAAAGTTCTTGTGGACAAAAGAATGCGAGGATGCATTTAACAACTTAAAGGAAGCTTTAACATCTGCTCCAATCCTGACGTATCCTCAGCTCGACAGACCATTTATTCTCGACACGGGACGCGAGCAATGACAGTGTCGGTGCGGTTTTGTCCCAAGAAATAGACGGCCAAGAACGTGTAGTAGCGTACTGGAGCAAGTGCCTGGTCTAAACCGGAGAGGAATTACTGTGTCACCAGGAAAGAGTTGCTCGCCATAGTCAAAGCTGTA